ATGCCCTCTCCCTGTCCCAGCCTAATCTCTCATATTGAAAAACTCCCTCCCTAAAGGGGATTGTTAACGGCAGGTTGGCAATTTAGCTGCCAGTACCAGAATGATTTGCTTTCATTTAGTTTCACCTCCCACCATGAAACATAGGCTGGAATTTTCTAAAGGGCTCAACACCCAGATTCAAAGCCAGATTTCTCCCAGACCTCTCTCTCTCTCTCTCTCTCATTCTCTCTCTCAGAACCAAAATGATTTGCCAGAGTTTCAAAGAATTCAGCATCTTTCTGATGAGAATCGTTTGAAAATCTGGTCACGAGAATCTCAACAGAACATGCTGGGTGCCAAGAATTTTTGAAAATCTTATTTTGATACTTAAATAAGAGCTGCACTCTTCTCAAAATCTGACCCTAGTTATATGGGCTCTGAGCACTGAGTTCATCTTGGAGCTTGTTTGAAAAATTAAGTTGTGAGTGAAGAAGTTACAAAAATTATCTTGGAGTTAAGTATTTTTGTGGGTGGTAGCTTTTACTGGACCAACTGCATGGTTGAAACAGATTTGGATAAGCTTTCAAATGCAGTGCATGAGGAAGAATGCTCTACAGTCAAAAGCTTGTCTAAATCTACTTCCCAAAACCTTGCCTCTGGCATACATCCTGAAACATCAGAGCTACAGCATTACTCCCAGCTCAGAGTTAATTTTTTTAAAAGAAATATGGCACGCAAGAAAGAAAGGAATTTTTACAGCTGCCATTTTGTCAAGTAGAGTTTGTGCTGCATCTTACAAAAAATAGACTCCGCACATTCTCTCTCATGGAATCCTTGCTTTTGTTCTTTCTTCTTTTTATGACCTCCCTTCACTCAAAAACATAACTTTAACTTGATTAATACAGCTACCCTGTGTACAAGAACATGTACATGAACAAGAAAACATAACAGTAATAAGGTAATCATTTTTCCAAAGGGTCTCCAAATGTACATGTAAAAGATCATTTCCTTCTTTTGATTCTGTCTCATTTTTCATAAAGGCAACCTGGATTAGCTGACTCTGCTTTGAATTTAAGAAAAATAATGTCATCTTGATCCATATTGGCAGCAAGGCAATCAATAGCCCTATTAAAATTAGCAATATAGGGAAAAATTATACAAGCATTCAAAACAGACTGATAAAACAAACTATATGAGAAGTGGGCATTTGCCTGCTGTTCTATGGAGATGTCATAGTAGACTTAAATACACATCCACAAAGAGAATAATATACCATAGTAAAGTAATAAGTAAAACCACATCCATAATTACTAGAGATTTTTAAAAAAGAAATTAGAATAATTTTAGACTTGACTGCATGCCTGAACATCCTGATTTTGAAAACTATCTGATGTCTATGTTACTAGGTCAGACTTTCAAGGCCAGCTTATGAGCCAACAGCTGCTGTGACTAAATAACAAGAAATAGTCTTTAAGATTTAAAGACATGCCATACTCTTCTATTTCCCATTAGAAATGAATAATTGCATCTTGGGGCCATATTCAGCAAACAACCATAATAATAAAACATGGAACAGAAATACTAAAAGGGAGTAGAGACTGCAGCAGAGAGGGGGAGAAATCTTTATGTGGTATCTTCAGTGCTGCCAAGAGAAAGAATGAGGGATTTTTCCCCTTCCCATGTTATAACTAGTAGTTACTCTCTGATAGCAACGCTAAGTCTCAAAACAAAGATCACATTTCAGTCTTAAAACTTTAAGGGCATTTTCAAGCCAACTGTAAAGAAAACTGAAAGTATTAAACTTGCTGCCACTTTTACTACTGGACAAAAAAAATAATTTTTCTTTTTCACTTTTTTACTATTTTTGTTTGGGTTTTTTTGTGTCAGCATCCCTTTGGGCTATTCACCTTCTGAAACAAAAATATATACACATCAAATAGAATTGAAAGTGCTGGAGAACTAAAGGATAATCATGAATGAAGATTGTCCTCAGTCCAAATTACCAGTGAGCTGACAACTCAAGTAGAAAACCTGACTGAGGAAGGAGAATCGGGAAAACTAAATATTATTTTAGAATAGTTAAAATTCTTATGCTTTCCCTATTATTTTTGTAATTTGCCATTAAACATTCTCTCTCTGATGTTTATATGAAGGATGCACACTGGTTGCAATTCTTGTGAAACTATTCCTTTCCTCATTTTTTTCTATTACGTCACTACTTCTCTAACTGCTAAAATCCAAGTGACTGGTGCTCATATAGATGCTAAATAGTTTTGTTGCATTGTTGCCATATATTTTGTTATATTCCAACAGTACTTGTCATTCTTTTAAATTAGTCACCTTTTGTTACCAATTAACTAGTCTTCAACGGTCACTCACTGTCATTTACAGATTTGAACAAAACCTTTGCTAAGAGACTATGTTGGGACTTTTTATGCTACTTCCACCTGCTGCCTTATGTTCACTGAACTGCAAACCAAGCTGCTAACAATGCTCATTATCAGCTCTACTTACACATTACAGAAATTTAGATAGGTTTTGAATTTTCAACACTTTTAGGTCCAACCCTGCAAAAACATTTCCACGAATGATTTGTACCTGTCCTTGTTAATCACGTCACTAACTGTTTTCAGGATCAAAGGCTAGAAATGTAATGGACTGAGATCTCTTATCATACCCTGAAAAATTGGCATTTCTAAATAGCTCATATAATGCTATGTATGAAAAAGTAGTTAAATTATGATGTCTTATTTATTTGATTATCCAACAACTATGGCAAGGATTTTGTAATGATATGAGAAATTCAGAGAAATCCACATATCTTTTTATATTTATGACCTATTAAAAGGATGCTGTCAGACTAGACGCACAGTTTGAGCTTTGAAGGAAGTTTTTAACTGAACGCCAATAGGTTTGTTGCCATAAAGTGGTTGCTTAAAATACCTGTGATAATTTTTTTTTCCTCTAGGATATAAACATTCCTTCACTGCAGGACCAATATAATGCTGCACTATTTGTGAGCCCACACTTTACAGCTCTGTGAGGGACCATCTGAGGAGAAAAGAAAATTAGTTAGAAGCAAAAGAAAAAAATGACCTGTCTGTTTTCACTGCCTAAACCAAATTTAAACCAAAAACAAACACCAACAACATAAAAAGGTCATTTTTATCCTTCACTTCTACAGTGCTGTTGTGTAGATTGTTTTAAATTGAATTAGACTTTTAACCTGACAGCATCCTTTTAAATGTCAGACTTGCAGTGCAAAAGCCCTATTTAAGTCCTAAGCCTTGCAGTGTACGAGTGTATATGGATATGTGAAAGCCATGAAATAGGTGCGTATAAGCCCCTTCTACAAAAGTGCCTAAAAGCCCCAGCAGCAATGATACTCACGTTGGCACTGCCCCCACGAATGACGGGCCCAGCCCCAGCAACAGTCAATCCTACTTCCAAACCGACACAATCCTGTTGAGGAAACTATTTGCCTACGCCACCTGCACAAGAGAGTTAAAGGAAGTTAGGGGGGAAAGAACACACTCTTATTTATCCACTGTTCTTATTATTTAAAAGGAAATTGTCTTTGTCCTCCCCTCTCCTTCTGTAACATGTTTTCTTGTAAACATAGCTGCTTTGTGATTAGCCTGTGGTATTTCTCTAATCATCTACTGCAGAGCTCAGTCAGTGTTGAAGAGTGGAGGGGAGAAGGGAAAAATGATTGAAGCATCTTCTTTTAACCCAGAAATAGCAGTGGATACTGTATCTTATAGTATGCTCGCTGCTGCCACTTACAGGCTGCTCACAAGCAGTATTAGAGGTCTAAAACGTACAATGATATATAATAAACTGTTATCATCAAGTTTTAACTGTGCTTGATTTCTAATACAGACATCATGGCCACCTTTAGCTTCAGTCTAGAAACCTTAAAAATAAAAAAAGACAACTTTCTTTCCTGCAAGCAGGAAATATGGGGGGAAGGGGGGGCAGGTGGGGGGAGGAGAAGAGAAAAAATTACAGGTTTCCACTTTTCCTAATTAAGTTGGATGGTTTCAGACTCCAAATGCAACCTTTCAGAAAGCAATCTCATAAAGCTATTAGTATAGTTTAATAACAAGGTAAAACAAATTTTTAAAATATCTGGCAGCTGTAGGATGTCAGCTAATGTGTAAGTTAGTTAAGCAAGCTCTCCTTTCCACTTGAGACCCCAGTAATAGTCCCTGATTGCATTAAAATATTTGACAGCATCTGACAGAATTTAACAGTATTCATTCTACACACATTCCTGCATCTCAACACTTCTTTTCATAGTTTGTTACCTAAATTCACGACTAAACTTGAGTTGCAATTTTCACAGTACACCACATCAATAGCTGTCAGCTTCAATACACCACTTTCGATTTATATGTAACATCGTGTTTGTAAAAGTGACAATTATTCCCATATGATCTCAATAATCTAATATGACTTTGTAGCAAGATGATAATTATAAGAAAATAAGTATAAGGGAGGTAGCCCTGACAGGCAGCCTACAAAGGTCATGAACTGCTTTGATGCCAGGTGATATGCATGAGCTACTTTAGATCTAACTGTCTTCAACCAGCTCGACCAGTCCAGAGAAACAAGAAAACAAATTGGTTTTCTCAGCTCATTCATTTTGCCACTACAGTAGGCTACAATGCTCGGGTATGCCTTTTTTGTCTCAGAGTGGAGAGGAGTAAATGGACAACGGCTAAAATCTCAGGGCTTCCCTTACTTTTGATCTTATTTTGAGCACCTCCTCCAAACCTGGGAATGCTTTGCCTCGGTCACCCCTTCTTTCTAAGTTTCAAATGCCGGCTCCCCTCTGCAGGAGAAAAGCATCCAAGAAGCCCTATGATAAACAGCATATCAGTAAGGGCTCTGATTTGCAGCTTAACTGCTGTAGCCTGTAGGAGTAAACGCTGAGTAACAAAGTTAAAAGAGCTCCGGGTTGTTCACAGCCTGTCAAAGCATGCATGCCTGGCGTGTACCAGGGATACACGCATGGCTACAAGACCCTACAGCTTCTCAGAATAATTCCTGCACATACCCAGGCTGCAATGAGAGGTGAGGATTTCTGAGGGTGCTGTCTTGTACTGGAGCTGCTCCGGGGTTGGGATAGGGGTAGGCAAACTTTGCAATGCCAGGCATTCTTCAGGGGGGGAATTAACAGGCACTTGGCTAGGGCTGGCTTGGGCTGCTCAGTGAGCTGGGAAAGACAAGAGGCAGAGAGTCTTGCCCCGCTTCTCCCTCCAGCCTGGTGTGGTGCCTCCACTGCTTTCTCCCTAGCCATGTCCCTGTCTTTTTGGGAGCAAATCCAAATTTTCAAAGGTGCACTTTCAAAGGAACTCTGGGCTGCCCAGGCACCTGTGGCACCGCCCCCCGCCAGCTCTGCCCTTCGTCTGCCTCCTCCGCAACTCCTTGCCTGGCACTCAGGCTGCTGGGCGAGGCTACCCACCATGGGGCGGGCACTGGCACGGGAGGCAACAGCCAGGGCAGGTGCCCGCCAAATCTGCCAGCTCCGGAGCTGCTGAGTGCAGGGGCCTGCGCTCCCTGCAGCCAAGAGCGATGCTGCCCCCAGACCCCAAGTGACTGTCACCGCTTTCACTTGTCCGCCCACAGCCAACAACCCCCCAACTGCAGCCCCACTGCCCAAGCAACACTGGGGGGCAGGGGCTCTGTGTGTGTACACTGGGATGTGTATGTATGTTTACCTCGGGATGTGTGTGTATGCATGTATGTATGCATGGAAATGTATATACATACACCCACATGTGTGTGTATGCACATACATACACACACACTCCAATATATATACACACACACATACACATCCATATACATTATACACACCCACACACATCCCAGTGGATATGTACGTGTGCATGTGCCCGTGAATACATGCCTGCATTTGTGCACATGTGCATGCACAGGTGCGCTTGCGTGAGCCTGCATATATATGGATGTGTGCGCGTGTGTATACGGGAACACCCGTGTCTGTACACACGCACGCATGTGTGTATGGGTGCCCAAGCGTGTCAGTGTGCCTGCGGGTGTATATGTGCGCGACGTGCGCAGGTGTGTGTCTAGGCGTGCCCACGTGTGCACACGCGTGTCCGCCTCCCCCGCGCGGCGGTCCTCACCTCCCGTCCAGCTCCCCGGCCGCCGCGGGGGGCAGGCAGCACAGCAGCGCGACGCCCAGCAGCGAGGCCATTGCCCGCACCAGGCCGGCTCCGAGAGCGGCGGCGGCGGCAGGTCTGC